AAGTGTGTCGGGTGGATACGATCATATTTTTTAGGTCTTAAAAAGTGTAGTCGTAAGTCATTTTTGTTGTAGTGTTATTTTTAGGATTCAACATTTTAAATTCGAATTCCTCTTGATCCCAGGAAAATAATTGATTCAAATCTCATCTTCGCGTTTGATTACCACCAAACATTTTCAACCCATGATATAAGGTTTGATTACCACCAAACATTTTCAACCCATGATATAAGGTTAAACGATTTCGGTTAAGATCTGATTTAGTTCTTGGCCTATCTATTTTACACATGATGGTTTATTCTAATGGGTCACTCCAACATTTGGAACACTCATCCCAAGATGTACGCCTCTGTCTCTCACACTTGGTGAGCTTTTATCTTTCATTTTTTTTGGCTAAGATCAAGACGATTTCAGTTTTTGAAATTTGAAAATTTGATAGATAAAAATGATTCTGGATGATTATAGTCTTATAGTTATATGATGCACAGATTTTTATATAAAGTGTGATGATTGATGTTAAATGGAACAACTCTCAAAGAAATTGGCATACATATTCGATTGCATACAAAAAGTCTTTTTCTCTTTGTCTTCTTCCCGCTAAAAAATAAATTCTATTTTTAGATTTGATTTTTTTTTATCATTTCAATGTCTGATTTTTCATTTCGTTTAGGGGAGTGGGTTCATACTATTGTAACTTGAGATTATTAGAAACAATAGCTTTCGTGCTAATGTAACTTATGAAGATTATTACTGACTTTTCGCACAAATTTATTGTTTTACATAAATTATTTATGATATTAACAACTTGAAATGGAAAAGGTTGTACCAAGAGGTTAACATAACCAAAACTAGCCGAACATGGTAGGGAATCATTTAGAAATTGGCAAATCCAATGAAATATTATATAGAATTGCATATTTGGGAATGCATTTTCCATTTTATTGCCCAATTTCTCCCTCACACGTTATTGATCATAAAACTTGCTTCTAGCATTTGTGGGAGGATTAACAACTATTAGCAAATTAGACACTCCAAAAGTTATCAATTCACTTGTAGAAGTGACACCATCAAGTAGCTTTTTTATTCAAAAATGTTTTATTAACTTCTTTGATAATATGCATATTGCATCTTTAAGTTTTTAAATATAAACTTAAAAAGTTAAAAGTGCCATGTGGAAATTCACAGTCATGTTGTTGATCCCCAAGCTTGCAAAGCATATTTTACTTTTTCTTTATAATAACTTTTACTGATTTCACTCACCACTTTGTTCTACAATAGGTTATTTTGGCTAATGGCCCAATTTATACAGCAAGTATAACATTGGATTTATGTGCTATAAGTAGGGTTGTAAATATACTGAATGTCAGCGAACTGTTCATGAACCGTTCGGTGGGAAGTATGTTTATGTTTGTTTATTTAATAAATGAACGAACACGAACATAAATTATTGTTCGTTTAGTTAAACAAACGAACATGAACAATGATCGCGTTCGTTCAATTATGTTTGTGAACGTTCGTTTATGTTGTTTGTTTACGTTCGTTTATGTTCGTTCATATAAGTTCATTTTATGTTCATATATGCTTAATCGTCTTTGATTACATTATTATATTATATGTTCATTTATGTTGATATATGTTCAATTATGTTTTTTTTTTATCTTTGTTCGTTCGTTTATGTTCATTTAACTTGTTCACGAACATAAACGAACGAACATGAACAATGTAATTTGTTAAACGAATGAACATGAACAAGAAAACTCGTTCGTTTATTCGTTCGTGTTCGTTCATTTGTTCGGCTAACTTAAACGAACGAACATTAACAAGTCCACGTTCGTGTTCGTTCGGTTCGTTTACAGGCGTAGCTATAAGTACCAGGACAAAAAATCAATATGGAAGAGACCAAAATTCGATATAATTATACCAACATACTTTTATTTATATTTCTTGTATGAACTTATTTTCCATTCTTTTGTTACATCAGTGCTTTAATGGCTGCAATTTTATCTATTTTTTCATTTTTAATTAATAGATCAATACAACTCATGATACGTGATAGAGTGTTATTGGCGTTCACTTTGGTTTCTTGCAACCTCAAATTTGTATATTTATTTGCATCGAGCAAACCCTTTCTAGTATCTCAAATGCAAATTGCACGCATCACTACAATATGTTTTGGAGATGATGATTTATACATCTAGGATAAATTCTATGAAGTCTATATAAGTGATGTAATGTGATTTCACTTATTGGTTTTAGAGATGTAAAAAAGACAAATTTAGTTGATCAGATGGATGATTATAATTTGATTTCAGTTATGGGCTTTATTAATGATTGTTTGGTCAATTTCTTCATAATATATTGTACAAAATATGTTTGATGTTGAATATCAAAATGTTTTAATATTGTTTTGATATGATGAAAACATTATTATTGCCTTGTATTTTGTGTTAAATATTATTCTTTTATAAAGACCAAAATATTACTTAGAAAATACATGTAAATAGTTACTGCAATAAAATCCTTTTTTAGGATAAAAAATGTGACATAATTATCCTAAATTTTATTTTTGATTGATGATTTTTGACCATTTTAATAATTATTTGAAAACGTGCATGTAGGTTTCTATTTTTATTGACCATTTCAATACTAATTTTTTTTTGAACGGCAAGCTGACATTAAAAAAGAGAAAAAAAAAACTAGCCACAAGCTAGAAGTACAGAGCAGAAAAGAGAGTGCATGACGAAAAAATAAACAGAAGAAAGACCAAAAGAAAGAATTAAAACCTTTTATAATATCTAAAACTTGATCACATCGCCATTCAAACCACCTCATATTTCACCCTTTCCTCTTTCTAGCGTTCAACCAAAGGAACGAGAAAGATTGGACTTCGTAAGCGAGCGCCGTATGTGATTTGTAACCGGATAAAAACATTTAAACCTTCAATAATTCTTATACTAAGAACCATTCTTTTACATAATAATAGAGGTGACAATTTTCATGTTTATAAATAGATGTATATTAGTTACTTCTTATCCTAAGCTAACCATGAGAGTTTTATAAAAACTTAGATGAAAATAAGTTTTTATATGAAAATAAATAGGTTAAATAAATCAAAAGTTGTTTAAATTATATTTAATTGGTTCGTAGTTTTGAAATATTTCTACAAATATATTAGATATTATTGTAATTATTTGTGGTAATTAATTTTCTGTTGCAAAAATGTATTTTCATATTGTTTGTATTAAGGTAGTCTAATTAAAACATTATTATAAAAATTGGTAAAAAAAATGGGTTTGTTACTGTTTGTATAATATAAATTGTTATTTAATTTTGAAAAAAATGATGGTTACTTTGTATTTTAAATAAGTAGGAATAAACATCAAATTTCTTAAAAGCTTCAAAATATCTTTAAAGTTAATTTCGGTTACATACAAAACATCTTATTTTGTATAAAAATTGTTTGTAAATTTATAATTAATGATCGTGTCTTTTAAATTTTAATATTGTTTTACTTTATCAACCGGATACTATACAGTTATAACCTAGCAATTAAATATTTAATGTTTGTTCATCTATTTTAATCAGGTAAATGGATTAGATGGTTTAAAATCTATACATACCTACTAGCACCATTTAGAAAAAAAAAAAGTAAATAAATTAAAAAAAAATATCTATAGTTTATTGTAAAAGTCCCTGGACTTATTGCCACCTTTTTCCACATTTCAATTATTTAAGTCTTATTAAATTATAGTAAGACCCCCACGCTTAAAAATCTGATTTTGATTATTGGCTATTATTTGAACATTCAACCTTTGAAAATGACAAAAGGACTCCTATTCTTTTTAAAACTATATTTTAATGACTTTTTAGCCGATTTGTGATATTTTAGTCGTCATTGAGTACTTACAAATCCTAAATACCAGCGGTTAATCTATTAGTCAATAGCAGCATACTATTGTAGTATTTTATAACATTGAATCCACTATTTGTTATTTTGTTGAATAATAATCACTGGAATTGTTTTGTTTATTTTCCTGTACCATATTTTTTGCATCTTTTCTTAGTATTTTTTTTCTTTCTTTCTTTTTATAATATGTTACAATTTTATAAAAAGAAAATGCTTCTAACAATGTTGTTAATGGAACACATGAAAAATCAATAGAAAAAAAAATAAATCGAAAAACGAAAAGTAACATAAAAACGGTCAAGTATAACCAAAATCAAAATCGAAGAAAACCAAAACATGATAGGATTTTTCGGGCTAAAATCAACTTTTTATTGTTCAGTAATAGATTTATCCTTAAACCAAACCTCATCAAACCTTTACTCACCCCCATTTATAGTTGTGTTTAACACCTTAAAATGAAATCCTTTCTTAATTAGCCATGTGTTCTAGATGTTGTCTATGTATTTGCTTTCCTCTGCTTTGATTATGTGAGAAATTCGAACATCTTAGAATTAAACCGATTTATTTCAATAACTTATAGATCCAAATTCATAAATATGAAATCAAGTTTTTGTAAAGTAAGACTTTGCATAGACAAATGTGAAAGTGGTGTAAACATTAATTAACATCCATAAATTGTTTCTCTTGCAACAATCCTGCAATTTATCAATGATGGCTTGGCTCTGCCTCTGGTCCTCACACCACCGGGCTACATGTATGGTCCACTAAAGGCCCACCACCCAACAATTGTACCATTTGTTGTGTGCCTTTTTTCTTGGCTACTTTGGTACTCAATCCAAAATACGACATGATTGAAGTTTTTTCGTGTGCAAAAGGGTAAATACTTTTATCATTTTTATCATCGAAAATAGTCTTAAAATACTTATATGATCCGATCTGATATCCCATGTAACAAACACAACATTATCCACCTCAATGGAATGTGATACACAAGAAGTGCACCCTACATGTGAACTAAACACATTTAATATGTGGAACATGACCACAAAACATACCAAAATTAGAGAACGAAAATCAAAATGAACAAAAGTTGCAACTCTGATTTTCTTTAGTAGAATATAAATACAATCAAATTTCGAGATTTTACAAATGAATAATTTCTATGCCCTCTTTATTTCATAGACAATTACGAACCAAGCTGTATAAAAATGGAAACTAATGAAGCCATCAAGACTATGACTAATAAATCACGCATGTAAACGTATAGGAAGTGTTTCTAATGTGAAATCAATCGTCTCACGGTCTTTAACCGGAGAGGGCTGCATTGAGAATTACATTCCATGTATCTGGTAAGCCAGGTAGGCACCAATGGCTACAATCTAGGCCAATGTGGTTGCCACTATAGTAAATCGGGTGAGCATCCTTTCTGTATTGAGACAGTGTTGTGATGTCTAACAAGTAGACAGGTTTCTTGAGTCGGCTCATGACTTTATTAAGTACAAGAGATGCCATGGGTGTGCCAGCAGGATATCGTAAACCGAAGAATGGTTGAGTTTCACTCTTGCATGATTTCGATGGTTGATTCCAATCCCTTCCACTATGTGAATCAAAATAAACATCAAGTCACTTTTCAATGCTTTTTTTCCATTAATTATCGTCCCGATAAAAGAAATTTAAAAAATATTAAAAAAAATCGCAACAAACTTTGAAACTAAAATGGAAAAAAGTTGATAGAGCGCGAATTTGCGAAAACATAAAACTTTATAAAAAGCGACTTCTTCTATTATAACCCTTTTTGGTTTTTTCTTTATATTACACGAAAGAATATTGATATATAACTTACTAGATTAAGTCATATATTCATTATGTTTATAAAGTTAAAAGAGTAACAATAGTTTAACCATTTATACATAATATCACCCGACAAATATTAAGCTTAGAACAACTAATGACAAAACTTACTCGTAATGGACGGGAGAAATGCCTTGGAAGAAAACTTTGGTTTTCGAAGGGTCAACGAAGCGATTGACCCATCTCGACCATGTTGTCATCCCTTTATAGTATGCCACGAGCCTATTCATGTCTTTATACACTTTCCCTCCTTCCCCTATGTAATCCCATCTGCATTTCAATCCAAAATGCATGTTTTACACCGCGGTTTACCTGATAGTCACACTGATACTGATAACGCGTTATACATAATATAAAATCTTACGGTTGGTCACGTCCTGTATGAGTCCACCAATGCCACGAGTTAAAAATTAGTACATCCATACCCTTCCACGCGTTTCCTTGACGGATCGAATCTAGTTTTAGTACCCGACCCGCTTTTTCGTTCACAATGTCGACTATGGTGGTTGTACGATATACTGATATCTTTAGTCCGTAATCCTGTCAGTAAATAGTAAAAACATAACGTTTTATAAGATAAAAGCAATAATAGTGAAGGTAACCCGTGAGGTTGTGAATAAATGCCAAAAAAAATGCGCATTTATTACTGCAGTACATCTACATCTACTCTCGTGAGAATATCCCACGCCCACATGCGAGTCACGTGACTTTTCATCCCCCATGATACCTTGGAGCCTTTTCCTTCAATTTTTAATTTTTTTTTTTTTAATATTTAATGATAAACAAAGAGTAAACATGATTTAGATTTGGAAATCCTACGATATTATTTTTCTAATTTATTAAATTATTTTGTTATTTAAAATGAAAAAAATATAAATGAATAGCTGGGAGATAAAAGTGATCAAATATGAGAATCTTGAATTAATTTTCTATTAACTAAGAAAGAATCGAATATTAGGGCTTTATTGGTGTCTTCATCTAGTTTCCTTATTTGTCTCTTGTTTGTAGAAAGTTGTTTTTAACTTTTGGGTTATTTTTTTTCGTTTATGTATTTTTTTTTTTAATTTATGACATAAAGTACTTTTATTGATAAAAATATGTAACATGTTTAATTTTTGAAACCAAAATATGGAAAAGGGGAAAAAATACAGTATTCCACATGTAATATAAGTATTCCATTGAAACATAAATGCATAATTCATGCAAGTTGCATAAATAATAAAAATATAAAAGAGTATTGTATAAACTAGTATAAATAAATAAAATATAATTGCATAAATAAACATTTAATTGCTGCTATGTCACGAAGTAAACGACTCGTAATTTGAATGCATATTTCGTAAAAAAGAAAACTCATTTTGTTATCTATAATTTGATAAATAATCAAGCAAATAATTAGTTATTTTGTGTTAATGATAAACATTACGTACCTACTGATAGTTTTGTATTTTATTAGTTTACTACTTAATAAAATGAGAAAAGAAAAAGAGCGAAGATGATTGGAAAATTAAGCAATAAATGAAGGAATGTGTCGTGATTGGTCGATGAACAACCTTCATGATGCATTTTTTTTGTTCAATTTTAATTAAATGATACCATGTGCTTAATCGGTGGTACTTTTGTTAGGTATATTAGAAGACAGCTCAAAATGCTTTTCAAATATCACTCAATTCATCTAAAGATATATCTTTTTTTTTACTATCTTAAAAGTATATTTGTATGTTTTAAACTTAAAAAGTATATTTTGTATGTGTTAAACTTAAAAATTACGTTCATAAGTCATAATATCATTTACAATTGTGGTTTTGGATCGTAAATCTTTCTCATTTATTTTTATCAATATAGTATTTTTAAACATTGACCAAAATAGAAAACGGGAAAACTGATTACGTGTAAGGTGATAAGGTGATGTATTCAGCCAAAATTTTGGAAATGTTGTGGCTCCAAAAGGGATGAAGGTTAAAAGCTCATCCAACTGGCAAAATTGACTTTATTACAATTTAAGTGCTTACATGAGTTGGAAAATAATGTTTATCATTAACACAAAATAACTAATTATTTGCTTAAATGCACATTGACACCGATTTTAAAGGAAATTTACACGAACACAAATTATTTTGTATGCATCCGTTATCTAAAACATAATTCGTTGACTAAATGTTGTGTACAAACGACTCAATTTTAAAACATATATATTACGTGAAAAAAGTACTCAATCCTACAATTATATAATAGTAGCAATAATAGTAATCCAAATTTTAGATAAAATCGTTGTTATACGTAATACAATTTTTTTGTTGGTATTATCCATGGAACCATGATAAATACGCTAATACAAATTTTTTTTCTCGTATTATCCATGCAACCATGATAAATACGCTAATAGATAGACTAAGAAAAGAAAACGCAATCTTAAATTTTGATTTGAGATATCATGGTATTTATAAAATATTGATTCAATTGATATGAAATATCTTTGATTTGAATTTAAGGTATAATAAACAAACAGCAAAGAAAAAAGTGGAGGGTAGTTGGACCAATAATAATTGACCACGAGAAGAATAAAATATATTAAAATTTAAATTAAAAAGAAGAACAAGAAGAACAAACCTGAAACGTAAGTTCAGTAAGAACACCACCAGTTTTGACTAAATTATACTTCGCATTAGGCACCCACGAGTGGATCATGCAACTCAGTGAGATCCACATATTGAAACTCAGTGAGTCACCCACAAACATAAACCTCTTCCCTCTCCACTTCTCCAAAAACTGCACCCCATTAAACCTGCTTAGAACATTACACAATCAAAAACCATGATCATGTTCTATTCAGGTTAAACCAGATAAACACAGTACCACAGTAACAGTAACAGTAATAGTAATACGGACCTGGGAAGGTTGCAGCTGAAAGGCTGCCACCGGTACTTGAGATAAGACCTATCTGGTCTTCCATATTTGACACAATCGAATTCAGGATCTAGGAAAGGACATGTAGCAGGGTTGTAAAGAGGGTAAGATTGATCGTATACCCATTTGCCTTTGAAGAAATTGCAAGAAGTGGCCTTAGAGGAATTGAGAAAAGAAGTGGCTTTTATGTGGTAAAAAAACAAAAAAAATGACAAGTATAATAATAATGAGGTAAACAGAGATCCCATTTCTTGAATTTCGATCCAAACTGGTAATGTTGTAAGGACTGGTACTCTCGTTTATTTATATATAAATATATGGGAGAAGAGGGTGGGGGAAGGGGGAAATAAGGAGATTAAATCAAATGTATATATATTAGTATATGTGATATAATTGATATTAACAAATCTTTTTTAAATCTTAAGTTTAAGATTTGTGGATTTGTATGTAATAATTGTGGTTTATCTGGGGTTTATTTTTTAATTTTATTGTAATTTTATTAATGTATATATTAAGTGTATTTATTTTGAAAAGAAATTTAATGACAAGGGACTTTATTCAATTTGTCAGAAATAAGGGCACATGGGGTGTAATATAGGTGCTCCTTTTATTGCTATATATTTGTTTATATTTTGGGAATGTAAGGTGGGATTTTAGTTTTTGAAAGGACATAAAAAGAAACCATTATTCGATTACGTGATGTAATATCAGTTTTCATTTTAATAAAAAATGTCACTTCAAAAGTTTTTTTTTTTTTTTTTTTTTTTGTATAATAATCGGTTTTAAATATATCTAAAGGTGTATTACTTTAAAAATATAAATTTAAAGTTATATATAATCAGTGGTGCCCTGGGTTTGGTACAGAGCTTCCTTTTACGGAGCCATCGAATTTTGAGATAAATCTATAGTTATGGTGTTAGAATTTTTGTAAAAAATATTGTTGTGTATTATCATTAAAGATGATTTGTTGTGTCGATTACATTTATGCACAATGCAACATTTGTTTGCAATCATGAATTCATTTTACTTAGGAAAAAAAATCAAAGAAAATCAAAAAATCAAAATCTAATCATAAATTTTAAAATTTATTATTAATTTAAAAAAAGGTCTATATCCAAAGAAAAATATAAATTTGTTTCTAATATAAATTATAGCAAACGATTTCATATTTTATAAAATGCATTTTACCAAAAAAAATAATACAAAAAATCAAAATCTAATCTAAATTTTAAAGACACTTTGCCTAAACAAACTCTCATTTTAAAATCATTGTCAACTACAAAGTTGGAAAATAGGATTAAAAGTGTGAAAGCAATAGTGATTCCAGAAGAACTTTAAAAAAAAAAAAAAAGACATTTTGACGAGATTGACGTTGTATCATTTTTAACCGGAACATGAACTTTATCCTCAAGAGTTGTTCATAACTCAATTTTTTGCGTACACAGTTGATCAAGTTATTAGTTCGTTAAAGTGAAGTTTTGAACAATACAAATAATATGAAGAATTTTTTTTTTCTTATTTACAACAGAAAAGTGACTAGTGAGTTAAAGGCAAGTTGCAAAGTCTTGAAAAGAGGTTGCAAAATTTTCATGTCTCAGACATCAATGTCGAAGATTTATCCAACGTACTGGAATTATTGCAAAAGAATTTACCAAATGAATATAATACAGCTAATGAAATACTAAATTTATTAAAAATGATAAAGACTTATCCAATTTGTTGTCTAGCATACAAAATATTATTGGTTGTTCCCATTAAAATTGCATCATCAGAAGAAAAGTTGTTTCAAAGTTTGGCGTACTAGCTGAAAAGCTAGCTGTTAGTTGAAAAGCTAGTTGTTAAATAAAAAGCTAGCTGATAGCTGAAAAACTAACTGATAAAAAATGACGTTTGGTTAAACTAGCTGAAATATATAAAATTACATAAAAGGACATTTAAGAGCATTTGTTCTATAATTAACTAAGGGGAATATTTGGAAAATTTTAAAAAAGCTTCTAAAAAGCTTGTCTAAGTAGATTTTCAAAAAGCTAGCTTATAAGCTACTTTTTGCATTGCCAAACACTACAACATAAAAAAGCTCAAAAATATGTTAGTTTATCAGCTAGCTGTGACGTGCCAAACACAGCCTAAAGCTTTTAAAATCTTATTTGCGTTCGACCATGTCTCAAAAAAGATTAAACATTTGGCTTTAATTTCAATTGAGAACAAATTTCTTGATAATATTGATTATGAAAATGTAATAAATTAATTTATTTCTAAAAATGGTAGAATGTCGATATTTAAAAAATAACAATCTACTGGTTATTTATCATTTTTCTTAAAGAAAAAAATTGCTTGTAACAGTTTCAACTTATTAATAATGAGTAAAAACATGATGTTCATGGTAGTAAATTATCATATATTTGTTAGTAAATTTAAGTTTTTTTTTTATTTAAGGGTAACTCAATTGCTTAATAATATTTTACAAAGAAAAATATGGGGACTTATTTTTATTTTCGCACAAGATCACCGAATGTCACACCAAGCTTGTATATAATACGATTAGTTGTTTCAAAACTACAATAAATAGACGTAATTAGTAGTGTTGACAAACTCGTTTGTTTTGTCATGTTGAACTTTTCAGTCAATTTTCTAAAAGGTAATTCAAATACTATTAAACAGGGTATGATCAAGATTTAAAAACCTGCCAAATTTATCATATTCGAAAAAAGCAATAAAATTATATAAAAGTATACCGTCAAGATTTAGGTACTTAGGCTACAGAAGTACATCAAGTCGTTGGAGAATCCATTGGATGTTATTAACGAGAAGACATCTGTTAACAGTATTTTGTAATTTGTAATGCCTAAACCTTCATTTTCATGTTTCTTGGTCATTAATAAATGTATTGAACAAAAATTGTCTCGGTAAATTGTTATATATATATATATATATATATATATATATA